CTAAACTCAATTTGAGCATCTAGGTTAATTGTGCTTTGGCAGCTCCAAACCCGGGTTTGAGGGAGACGTCAAGGCAACCCTCAATTGCTTGGGCCAATAGGGCTACATTTGTAGCCTATAATGCTTTCCTTGGCCTAGCAAGTGAGAGGCGGTTTCCAACCACTGTTGTCTCTCCTAGCGGTTCACAATCTCCTTGTCCCACACCGATTCATTTGATCTCACGGTTCATGGTAGTTGGTTAGGGGGAAACAACACCCTAGTGAAGCTTCTCACCAAGAGTTTTCCACCACTTTAATTTTCAAGTCTTGCTTTTCAATAGTAGATTGTAGATATTTTCGCAAAACAACAAGCCGCTAGATAATGTTTCAAACAGTCAAAGTAGGGGTACATGGGCCGGCCCGAATCGATATTTGAACATACTTGCCCTATATTGCACCCATTTAAGGTTTATACTTGGACCTTAGGTGGGGTTTTATTGTGATAGTCGGGTTGAGTCAAGTTTTTGGCGCCGTTGCCGGAGACCTTCGGTCTGTTATCTTGAAAAGATTGTTTGGTGTTAATCTAGCTTTTATTTTTAGTTTTGCTAAGTTAAGATGTTGCTTGTGCTAGACGAGTTGTTGTTCTTTTAAGTGTGTGTAGGGAGGTGTATGACCCGGAGCAATCCGACACCTTTAATGCCACTAGACGAGAACATCAACTGGACTCTCCGACTCTTGGCTCGTGAGAGGGAGTTAGCGGAAGCGAGAAGGAGAATTGAAAAGAGGGGACATCAAGTTGATCCCGGAGTTAGAAGAGTTAAAGTAGAAGGTGAAGTTGTAATGGCGGCGAATCAACCACAAGCTGCTAATCTGCCTCTGAATCCAAATGCGGAGGTGGGAGCTGAGGAAGAACCAAGGACAACTATGGGCTATTACATGGATTCACGGGCGGCGGATATCCAATCTCCCATCTTACATTAACCTGTGGCCGCCAACAACTTTGAAATCAAGCCTGCCCCAGTTACGATGATTCAAAACAATGCCTTGTTTCATGGGCTCACCAATGAATCGCGGAGGGAGCATGTTCAGAGGTTCCTTGAGCTTGCGGGAAGTTTGAAGATAAATGCTGTCTCTACGGAGGCATTGCAACTGAGGTTATTTCCCTACTCTCTTGCGGGGAAAGCACTCCGATGGCTCAAAAACCGACCGGCTCGCTCAATTACCTCATGGGATGATTTGCTCAACAAATTCATGACCCGATATTGTCCTCCTTCTAAGACACCCGAGTGGAGGAAGAAGATCACTTAATTTGAACAAGAGGAAGATGAGACATTGAGGGATGCATGGGAAAGATTCTCCGACTACTTCCTCCAATGCCCTCACCATGGATCCGAAGAGCAATTTCGGATAGCGACTTTCTATGGAGGTCTCATTCAAGATGACAAGATCCTTATCGAATCCCTTTACCAAGGGAGGTTGATGAACATGACCCCACCTCAAGTGACCGGGTTGCTCGAAGATATGGCTCTTAAAGGGTATGATTGGGGCTTGACGAGGAGTGGTAAGAGAAGCACCGAAAGAGGAGTGTGAAGTGCCGAAGCAAGTGCTCCACTTGAAGCTAAGCTTGACAAGTTGATCGAGGTGATGTCTTGTGATTGGTGTTCTAGCACTAATCATGAAATTGCGGATTGCCAAGCGATGAAGGAGACAAGTACCCCCGAGGAGAAAGTGAGTTTCATTGCCAATGCTAGAGGGAACAACCCTTATAGCAACACCTACGACACGGGTGGCGCAATCATTCAAACTTTGCTTGGTCCCCTACCAATCCAAGGCCTCGCGGTTTCCTAGGTCTGATGGGAAACTATCAACCTCGGCCAACTTTCATCCAACAAAGGCCTCAATTCCAAAATTCGAACTTCCAACAACCATACCAAGCACAAGGTGGTCAGGAGTTCCAATAACAACAACAAGTCGACAAGTTTGCTAAACTTGAAGATCTAGTCACCACCTTCATGACTACAAGCTCTCAGAAGTTCGAGAAGATTGAGCAACTCATGGATGTGGCAACTTCCAAGTTTACCTCGGTTGAGGCAGGACTCCGAAGTCATCAAGTAAGCCTCCAGAATTTGGAAATGCAAATTGGCAATCTTGCTGGGATCCTCACCGAGAGATCAAAGGGAGCCCTACCCTCTCAAACCTTTGCAAACCCCAAGGATCATGTCGGGTGCAATGCAATTCTCTTGAGGAGTGGGAAGGTGACTCCGGAGGTTGTATCTTTGTGCTCGGGTATCCGATCGTAGCGAACTTTTTTTATTCCGCATAACTTTTTGAGATCTTGCAAGCCGCAAACTGCCATTTGGTCCCTCCTTCATCCCATAAAAATGTCGTTCGCTACTATGAACGAGCTTTTTCCGATTTCGTCAAACTTTGGATGAACATAACTTTGTGCTCCAAAATCAGAGAGTTTTTTTTTCATTCTGCATACCTTTTTGAGGACTACTATTTTATCATAGACATAATTTCGAAATGTACGTGGATTTGTGAAAAGGGAAGATAAAGTTATTCTCAAAATCCCGTATATCCAAAAATAATTCATGTTTTGAAAATTTCTTCCTAGTAAAAGTTGTAGCCCTTGAAAAGTTTTGCAGAATCAAAAACAATTTCATGACATTCGGATTGCGGAGCACATAGTTATTGACTCGCCTCTACTGTCACACTAGAAAATGGCCAAGTGTAACCACCTACTAATGCGTAGTATAGCGGGTTTAGATTTAATTGTCAACCCGGGTCCTAGGTGTGATGACTACTCCGTGAAGTTCTTATTATTTAGCGGTTCAACTGTAGTGAAGTTTCAACTAAACTAACAAACACAAGTAGTAAACTTGTGGTTCAAGTTTGAGAGAGGTCACCCAGATATGGTTCCCCCTAGATTGCAGTTAAGCCAAGTTGTAATTCACCAAGTCCAGATTCAATGATAATTATACTGCGGAAGGTTCTTATTCAGTCTGAAGTCTCGAGTAAAGGTCTCCAGATCCTCTCAATCTGAGTACCCGACGGGCGAATCCTCCACCGGAGTAAACAAACTGAGGCCTTAACGTGCAAAACCCCCTCTACTGGAATACATCCAGTACAGAATAGTGAATTGACTTCTCGACTAAAGTCGTCAATCCACCACCTTCAATTAAGGGTGCTCTATCAACCTAGGCAGATATTCTCTTTCTAGGTTAAAGTAGGAACTACAGGAATTTGATCATGATTCATGCAATTCAGAAAACCATGCCTCAATTGAATATAATCGATGTCAAAGAACATGTACTTGGGTTCATACAACCAAACCTAACATACAAATCTAGGGTTCTTCATACCCAGGTGAGTGAGAGAGTTTACTCCATAGAGAGAGGAGAGAAATCAGCTTCAGATGCGGAAATCATTATGTGAAGGATGAAAATCCGCTCCTGGTAGTCAATCGACACTTCTCCAAGCTTCAATCGAGCTCCAATGGTGTTGAATATCGATCTAGGGCACTTTGAGGTTCAGTTTGTCGCTTTCTCTCTAGATTTCTACTTTCTTTTTCTAAAACTCGGATCCCTCTCAAAAGAGGCCAACTTCGCTTGAAAAGGAGCATATCACGATACCCGGTTGTGTATTATTAAAACGCAGCGCTCCAGTAGGGGGAAATACCTGATCGAGGGTCAGAATACCTGATCGAGTATTTAAGCTTCGCAGCTGGGACCCCTTCTGCTTTTTTGGCCTCCAAAACAGCTTTTATCTGGTCGCCTCCTTCTCGTTTACCCGGTCGCGTATTTTAGTGCCTGGCTGGGTATTTTTGCCTTCCAGCTCCTCTAGCTCCAACTCTCCACTTTTTGACCCGAAACTCGCTTCCACGCCTCAATGTCCACGCCAAGTCCTGAAATATGACATAAACGGACAACCTAGCGCGAAATCTGCTTAAACCACGAGAATTGACTCTCAAACGGTTCAAGAATGGTGGTCAAAACATGTGCAAATAATGGTCTATCAGTTATGGGTGGTGAAAGTTTGGCAAAATCAGAAAAAGCCGGTTTGGGGTAGCAAGCGACGTTTTTTCGCGAGAAAGGCCGGACCAAACCGCCTACAACTGTTTGCGCGTTGCAAGATCTCGAAAAGTTATGCGGAATAATTTTTTTTTTGCAACGATGGGATACTCGAGCACAAAGATACGTTCGTTTGAAGTTTCCACCTAGGTTAGGAATAATCGAAAAAGAGACCAAACCGCTGGGTGGGGCATCGGTTTTGGACCAAACCTAAAATTTTTAAGTGGTATGTGCTGATGTGGCATGTTGACCGTTAGTCAACCCGTTTGATCGTCCAAGATAACGGTCAAATCTCGGGTTTGGCCAATTTTGTAACTTTGATGAATAGTTGAGGCCACGAAGTTATAGATCGAAAAATTTGGTCAGGATGTTTAATATGTGAAAAGTTCGGGCCATACAAATATATTAACCCTAAATTTTAACTAGCTCAAATCATGTTATTTCATAATAGCGAAGCAATTTATTGTACATAATTTTTTATAAAATTAAAAATAAGACATGTTTTCTTACATGCTCATTATGAAACTTCATATGAAGTGAGATATATAATTTAACAATTCTATGAAGTATCAAAATTCAAATTCTAAGATGTAGATCGATTCGTTCATAAGTCGGTTATCAAGTTAGCTCTCTAGCCATATTATTGAGACATCTCATTAGCTCTAAACGAGACAGTTCACGAATTGAGATCAACAAACCACTGTGTCGAGCTAACTCACGAGCAAAACTGAGCTCAACCTCGACTAATTAATTAACAAGTTAAATTTTTAAATAAGTTTTTCTCAAGTCCAACGGCTAGCCGCTCGACTCTCCAAACACAATAAACGGCATAAATGGCCGATTGAATATTTGAATTACATAGCAGTATAGCACTGATAAGGAAATAGCCGGCTCGCAGCCCAAATAAGTGAAATAGCTTTCCCGTAGAGATGAAGTATATGCCCATCAAAAACTCGACCGAAGGCCCAGTCGAATAGCCCAGTTTCTGGCTGGCTCCCTCTGACGGGGAAGAGGAAGGAAAGTAAGAGTAAGACTGTCAGCGACTCTGCCTGCTTAGACAGAGAGCGCTGTCGTCTCGTCGTTTTCATTTTTTCGCCATTTTCTGATTTTCGCCCCGATCGATCTCTAAACTGAGCCAGAGGCCAGAGCTCCCATTCCGTCGACTAGAAATTTCCCCGTAGATCTTCGATCAAGCTCCGCCGACCTTCGCCTTGCTGCCTTCCACCGAAGAAGGGAAGAGGAGAGAGAGCAACAAGGAGAGATGTTGCCTACTTCGTCCAAAGCCAGGGCTTCGTCCTCCGCATCTAGAGCTCACTCCATGTTCCCGCAGTACCTTCGCAGAATTATCAAGGTTTTGCTCCCTTCCTCTCTGTCTTTAAAATTTGTGTCGTTCAAGATCTGATATATCCTACTCAATTCGAATCCGTCTCTCGCACTGTACCCTGACTCACTGGGAGATCTCATTTCGTTAGTCAATCGTCGCAATTGGAGCCCGTAACCGTATAGTTTAGCGGCTAGTTTTTGGGAGTAGATCACTGCCTTCATTCGAGAGGGCATTGTAGTTAGAAATCTCGATTGAGTCTGTAGTGTTTGTTTTTGTGAACCAAGTGCATTCAGAATTTGATTTGATGTGCGCATTTCTCCTGGAATTGATAAGCCTTTGTGTCTTAGTATGGATGTGATCTCGTATCTCAGTGTTCAGGAACTGTGCCATTTCTGAGGGGAAGTTGTGTTTTCGTTTGAGCTTTTATTACTGGTTTCGTTTCTCTTATGGCCCTTTGTTATACTTTGTTTGATCATTCTAGTGGCAACAAATGGACATTGAATACACGTTCTGGCAAATGCTTCATCTATGCACCTCCCCGAAAGTTGTGTAAGTAATTCTTGGTTGTTTCATCATTTATTACGGTTCGCATATTTGCATCTAACCCTTTGTAGGTGATGTGATGCCTCTGTGTTACTAGGTGATACACCTTAGGTCTTTCTATCTGTTTTTTATTGACTCGTATTGCATGATCGTTCGAAGCTGCATAGCTTAACTTACGTGATGTTGAAGAATTTCATACATGATTCTCAATTTCCTTTTCTTGTTTCCAGCCCTCTGCTTCTTAATATTTAGTATTTGGCTGTACCATAGCTAAGATGTAAGGCTTTTACCTTTATAACGTCATGGTATTGCTGGAGTCATGACTGTACACGTATTTGTTTCACATTTCTGAGTGATTGTACCTTGTGATATCCTGATTTGCTTTTGTTGTATGGAGTCGGGGAAAAAAATATCAGAGTTTGAATGTGTCAGAAGTTGGGGTTGCTGGTCAAACAGGCAAGCTTATCCTATTGATAAGGATTCTAACAATTTATTTGCATGTCGTTGCTGTGGGATGGAAGCAGCTATCAGCACACTAAGTACCATAAGCGTAAGTTTCTCGTCCACTGTATATCTTATTTATGTGCATCGGATGTTCTCGTTGTTCTTGCGTTAATGATTGTGAGCTGCTGACACTGACATTAGAAATGAAGGTGATTGCTTTGATGGACTTCCTTGACTGCTCTATTGGGTCTCTAAGTGGTGTATTATTGAACAAGTATATGATCAGAATCATTTCGATGGTTGTATGTCAAATTAGCAACCATATTAGGTGGTGAGATAATTGAGAATTCATAATGGGGTTTATGCAATGGACAATTTGAAGGCAACTTTTCCTTTTGTGATAGTTCCAGAATGTGCTATTCTGGTAACTCAACCCCCACCCTCATCATCATTTCATTTTTCTAATAGAAAAAGGGCTTATTTGAGAATGTTGTTAGTGGCTAGTGCCTATTATATATTTTGGCTATTCATTGTCCTTGTGTATGCACAACGGAGGCATCAGGCTTGTACTTTGAAATTCATGTGTTTCTTGTGTTTTCTATTAGTGAATATCTTCCAATGGTTTTGTCGCGTATGCAGTTTTTAAGGGGGAGTATTCTGCATTTATTCTGGAAAATGTAAGATGAAATTTGAAAGATTGTTGTTCACTTTTGTATGTCAGAAACTAAGAATCAATGGGCACGTGACGATCCTGCTTTTGTTGTAATCTGCAGTCTCCTTCTGGCTGTTGCGACTTTGGCTTATTGTGCGGCGTAAGTTTTTTTATGAACTTCTTCCCGTTCACCTCCCCTGACATAAACAAGAAGAACTGGCATCATTTTTACCTTATGATTCCTGATATAGATTAGAAAATCCTATGCCTGAATTTCATTTTTTCCAGTTGTGAAATATCGTCCTCAAGCTTTTCTTTCTGCTGTAAATCTGACTTCCTTTTCTGTCTATATTTCATTAGTTTGTTGCTTAACTTAATATTGTAGTTACCTCCATACAATTTTAATCTTACTTTTTCCTTGTCTATTTCAGGTATGATCACAGTGCATCTCATGCTGTTTTTGTAGTTATATCAGTATTGCTTTTCCACTTTTTGACTGCCGGGGTGCTTCTGGCTACTTCTTGTTGGTAAGATTATCAATCTACTTTAGCCTTTGTTCACTGCTGTCATTGGTTTTATCAATTTGGCGAAATAGCAAATTAAAAACTTGAAATGGTAATTCCTTAAGAAATTGAGTGTGCAATTGTGTGCTCTGCATATGCTACTATTTGATGAGATCTTGCTTCCTTTTAATGGAATTGGGCTGGAGTTGCATCAATAATCGATGAGTTGGAATTTGGAAGGATTGAATACAAAGTTGACGAGATTTGAAGTCTTAGGACCAATTGAGACATGCTTGAATAGAAAGTTCTGTTCATCTGATTTTTTAGTTATTGAGGTTTCCTGCCACTGTAATGTGGGTTAGCAAGCAAAGTTAGGGGCTGCTAGTACCTTCTCAACATAATATGAACAGTGACACAAGTTTACGATTGACCTATGGTTACTATTTTATTTTTCACAGTCCGGGGTTAGTTCTTGAGCTTCTGCCTATTGCTCATTATATCTCATGGCTTTCTGTACATCAGTGATAAAACCATTCCTGTCTTGTACCTCAGGTTCTTGACTAACTCATACCTTCGGGAGGAGGCTCCAAATAGTCATGTTGTCGAGCAACGGGTTGAATGGCAAGTCTAATCAAATCGTCCCCCTTCTTTTTCTGTAATGCCATGTTAATTGTTCATACCTGTGAATATCAAAGTCTTGGCATTTTCTCCTGTTGCGTTTTTGTATTGACATTGTTCCTGAATCTTTCCTGTTTTCTTTTTCCCCTTTGTTATTTTTCAAATTTATCTTTTTTGAAGGTTGTATGCATTCGATGTGCACTGCAATTCTTTCTTCCCCATGTTTGTTATGCTCTATGGTAAGCAAGGCCTTCAAATGGTGTTGCTTTAGAGTCCTGCCGTTTGTCCGTCCTTAATATACTAATGATTCACTGTTATGTTTCTTGCAGTTATACATTATTTTCTGTCACCTCTTTTGGTGGCCCATGGTTTCATACCGGTTCTACTATCAAACCTGCTTTTCTTGGTGGCAGCCTCGTATTACCATTACCTCAACTTTCTAGGTTATGACGGTAAGTTGATTTTTGTTTTTATTTCCAGCTATACTTGCGAAGAGATAATGTATCAGTTCTACACTTGTCATTTGTTTACGCTAATCATGACCAGCAAGATGCATTTGACTGCAGTGCTACCCTTCCTAGAGAGAACAACCTTTTTCTTGTATCCAATCGGCATAGTCATCGTCCTTTCTCCCATTTGTAAGTAATTTAATGCACCCATACATTAAAATATGTGTCTGATCTCTTTTGATCATTTCTCGTTTTTTACTGAACTCTTTGCAGTAATTCTAAGCGGGTTCAGTCCTTCAAGATACTTCATGAACATGTACTTCAGTCAAAGGCTGTGATATACCCACCCAAGGCAGCTAACAGCATTTACGACATATCAACATATGTTTTGGAGGCATTCCGTTAGGTACGCGATTGCATCAAAGTTATTGGAGGGAAGACATAATTCTTTTGGTGTAAATGTGAGAACTGAGACCAGGGCCCCTTGAAACAGAAGATCATTGTAGTAACTCTTGAAACCGGGAAGAAGTAGGAAGAAGTATAAATGAAGCGCACAAAGTGGTCGGAAGTGGAGTTTTCTTACTCCTCAGAATCGAGGGTTAGTCTGATACATGGTCATGTAGATCCATGATGTAATCCTTTTGATTGTTTTTTGTTGTCAAATCTGGTGGGTGGGTTCTTCTGGTTAGCATGGTTCTTCCTCCCATCTGAAACTTTTGTTCTTGAATGTGGAAGTTTTACGATGTTGCACATTCACTTACGACTATATCTCTCTCTAATCAGGATTTGGAGTCAATGTGCAGAGTCTTTGCAAGTCTTTTCTGGTCTTGCCTAGTTATACTTTCTTCCGTGGCGGGCTTAGTTTGTCTTTTTTTTTTGGTGGAAAGACGACGCCAAAGGCGTCTTAAATCATATTACTAATAAACCATTCCTAGGATATACCCATGGCATCGTACAAGATCCAATGTTCCAATCCCGGGTTGCTCACATCGAGCAGATGTGTGCCAAAAGAGGATTCGTGACCTCTAGCTGCGAGAAAATCGGCAGCACAATTGGACTCCCTATACACATGAGAGATAGTAACCTCCCAATCTAAACTCAAGAGCTTTCTAATACCATGTGCAATAAGCCATAGTAATGATCCTCGTTCCTCTTGCTCTTGATGATACTTATAGCAGTGGACGAGTCCGAAATCAAGCAAACTTTCCCGAATCCTTTGCTCCAAGCCAACTTCAGCCCTTCTTGGATGCCTTTAAGTTCCTCTCTTGTTATTGAGCAACAACCTTAATTGCTAACAAAAGTGGCAAGGCCATTGCCCAGACGATCTCGAATGAGTCCCCCTGCAGCAGCCTTTCCCTCAGGTAGCTGGATCGATCCATCAGTTGACACTTGGACCCATCCTTCAGCAGGTGCTTTCCATCTGATTTGGACACGCTCGGAAGTTCTAGCCTGCAGGATCAAGGAGTTCTGGACGTTTTGTTGAGCTTTCCTGAAAATGTTGATCCATGCTTTGATCCGGTAGAAGAGCCCTTCTTCTGAGAATCTTTTACCTTCCATCGCTTCATCATTCCTCTGCTTCCAGAGATGCCAGCAAATAATACCGAAGTCGACTCCAGTTAAATCATCGCTGATATTGCCCAACATCCATTCCTGGAAAGGTATAGACATATTGATAAGCTTCAAACTGTTCCTCATCTTCGACCAAATGCTTGACGCTTTTCTGCAGCTCCTCATGACGTGTTCAATGCTCTCCTCGCAGTTAGGATAGTGCGGACAACAACTGTTCGTCGTAAGCTGCCTTTTGGTTCGTTCCTTGTTGGTAAGAAGCCGATCGTGGACAACCAACTAGAGGAAATGTTTCACCCTGCTTGGCCCTTTCCATCACCACAACTCCTTCCAAATCTTCACTGGCTCCTCCTCCATCTCGTTAGCAGCAAGTCTGTATGCCGACTCTAGCCAAAACTTCCCATCAGGTTCAGGTCCCCAGATCGTCATATCCTCGCCTGCGTCAGGGTCCAGTGTGTCCATCCCTACAATCATCAAGAGAACATCATTAGGGAGAAGATCCCTTAGTCTCCCCAGATCCCACTAACCTGTCTCCCTGACCCAATCAGCAACTAGCGAGGAGAGCTCCTCATCAGTGATGTCATTCAGGAAGAAGTCCTAGAGGGCAATCCCACTATCGAGCCAAGGATGGGTCCAAAACCCCGTAGACCTTCCATCATGAATACTCCAGCAGGTGGCACTCTTCATCAGCGGCATGGCTTTCACAATTCCTCTCCACAAGTTAGAGTGATTACTTGTCTTCATCGACACAATATTCCCCTCCTTATGCATGAAATATTTTCCCTGCAAGACCTGCACCCAGAGATCAGAATCATTGTTCAAGATCTGCCATGCTAGTTTAACCATATAAGCAAGGTTCAAACTACGAGCTGATCTAAGCCCTAGCCCTCCCATCTTTTTAGGTTTACAGATTGTATCCCAACTGACCAAATGCACCTTCCTTTTCCCAACATTAGACCCCAAAACAAAGCTACGGATTTTCCTATCAATCTCGTCACAAATCGAAGTAGGGAGCATCGAAGTCTGCATTGCGTAGGTAGGGATTGCATTCAAAACTGACAAGGCCAATGTAACCCTACCCGCAAGTGACAGAGTCTTAGCTTTCCAAGCGGTAAGCTTCTGATCCATCCTATCCAAAATGTACTTATAAGTATACTTAGTAAGACTCCCATGTAACACAGGAACTCCCAAGTATCTACCAAGATCCGTAGTAGCTTGAATCCCTAAGCAATTACAAATGTCTTTCCTGGTTTGAGAGTAACATTTTTAGAAAAGAAGACCCTAGATTTTTCTTTACCAACCAATTCTCCGAGCAATACAAAAACAATTCAAACAGTTCATAACCACATCAGCTTGCTTCAGACTAGCTTTAGCAAATAACACAAGATCATCGACAAAAAACAAGTGAGACAAAGCAAGACCACCAATAGACAAACACACAGGTTTCCAATTTCCTAAGTTAACTGTGTCAAAATGCAATGACTCAGTCTCTCAACACATAAAGTAAAGAGATAGGGAGATAAGGGACATCCCTGACGAAGGCCTCTAGATGGTGTGAAGGTCTCAGTTTCTCCCCCATTCCAAAGCACTTTGAACTTCGTCGTCATGCACTTCATAATAAGGTTGATTGTCGAGTTGGGCAGCTTGGTGGCTTTCAGTGTCTCCTCCAAGAAGGGCCAAGCAATTCGATCATACGCTTTAGTGAGGTCCACTTTGAGAAGAATACTCCCCCTCTTCCCTGTTTTCCTTGCCATAGAATGGACTGTTTCTTGAAGGATCAGGATATTGGAGGAGATGTGACGTTTGGGTACGAAGCTCGATTGGTTCTGGTGAACAAGAAGAGGCATCAGATCCTAGCTATGCATTTAGCCACAACCTTATAGCTCACGTTACAGAGGCTAATAGGTCGAAATTGACTCATAGCCGAAGGTGCATCAACTTTGGGAATCAATGCAAGAAGATTATCATTGATCCACTGGATTTTCTCAGGGTTTCTGAAGCAAGAAATAATGCAGCTAGTGAAATCAGTGCCGACAATGTCCCAAGATTTTTGGAAGAAGATGGCTTGTGAACCATCCTTCCCCGCCTGTTTCATTCCATTCATACTCATAAGGGTCGCTTTCACTTCCTCCACCGCAGGAATGGCGCCAACCCTCTTCAACAAGGCATCATCAATGGAGGGAAAGGCTGCTACCACCCAAGGTCTAAACTCCTCCTCCTCTCTGGTGTAGAGTTTGACAAAGAACTCTCTCGCCATTGTGAGAAGGACTTCCGAGTTAATCTCCCAACTGCCTTGATCATCTCTCAGCCCCGAGATCCTGTTTCTTTTCCTTCTTCCCACAGTACTGGTGTGGAAAAAACGTGTGTTCTGGTCTCCATGAATATGCCAGTTAGCCCTAGACTTTTGGATCCAGAGTAGCTCTTCTTGCCAGAGTGTATCTTCCAAATCCTCCCTCGTCCTTTGCTCTTCCATTCTAGATCTAGCCGTTGGGTTTCTCTCATTGATAAACTCCAGAGTGTTGAGCTTAAATAATCCTTTTTCTCTTGAAAATATTTCCAAAAACCTCCTTATTCCACTTCTTAAGATCATTAGTCACCCCCCTGCAGAGAGGCCACAAAATCACCCCCAGCCTGCCAAGCTGCAGACAAGAAAGGGAAGAAATCTTCATGAGCGAGCCATGGAGCCAGGAACTGGAACCTCTTTGGAAGTCTTTTCTTCAGATTAGTACCCTTAGTGCAGGTAAGGAGAGGCCGGTGGTCCGACTTGAGCTTGGTCAGGTGGAAAGTAGTCGTCGTTGGGAAGTTTTGATGCCGCTCCATATTACAAAGACTACGATCCAGTCTTTCCTTTAGCCAGGAGGACTTGGTAAACCAGGTGAAGTTCGGTCCAGTATACCCTAATTCAATCAGTCCACAATCCTGGATGCATTCACAGAAATCTCCGACTTTAGCAAATCGGAACTTAGCTCCCCCTTGCTTCTTTGAAGGTCTCGTGATGGAGTTGATGTCCCTAGTGAGCATCCATGGAAGGTGAGTTCTACTGTCAATGGTTCTGATAGCATCCCATAGGGCCTTCCCATCATACTCATTGGGACTACCATAGACAGTAGTGATATGAAAAATTTCTTTATTTTCCACAAATCACTTAAGATGAACGAATTGTTTGTGACAGTCCACCATCTCCAAGTTCACTTCTTTGCAGTCCCATAGAACCCATATTCCTCCACTATACCCAACAGCATCAGAAACTTTCCAGGAATCATATCCCATAGTCTTGATAACTGAGCTAGCATCCTTCCCAATGATCTTGGGTTCAAAAATACACATCACATTAGGCTAATGCATTGTTTTATAAAACATAAAGGAAGACAAAAACTTAGGGTGATGGGCACCCCTACAATTCAAAGAAAAAACTTTAATCATTTAGTAAAGAAAAGTTCTTCCCTGAACCATAATCAGTTGCTGGAGATTCTCAGGTGTCGACGGCCATAGCCGTCTCAACACTTCCTGGTGCATCCGTTCCAACAGCAGGAAAGACATGGTGCACCCTTCTCCTTCCCTGGACAGGAGTCAAAGACAATCATCTTGGGATTGAGTGTCCCACTTTTTGGGGGGTTCAGTGTGCTCAAAGAATCCCTCGCGGGTTCCTGGATTTTTCTGTTTCTGCTGGTTTAACAGTTGTTGCTTTGCCCTTGTGATCCAGCTGCGAGTCGAAAACAGCTTGGCAGTACCCATTCCCAATATCCCCAATTTTGACTCCTTCTATCTTCACCCACATTTTCTTCACTCATCGATGAATGAAGGCAAAAGGGAATTGCTTAGCAAGGACTCTGAAGGTAACCGCTCGATTCCATTGATGCTGAATTCTGGCATTTGTGCATTTCTATATTCTGATTGTAGGGCACTCTGAATCATCTTCACCATCCTCACCTTCCGATTCGTCGGACATCAATTAATCCCCTTCCGAGATGTCTGGTTGGGGCTTGTTCCCCAAGAAGGAGTCCTTGTAGGACGCTCATGGCGACTCAACTTTCGATTTAGTTGGCGAAGCTTCAGTATCCCCCGATTCCGCCGGATTCCAGACTTCCATCGCAGAGTCTTCATCTTGTGCTCTTGTAGTGATAACAGAGATATCCATAGTACCCATGCCCGAGAACCCTTTGCTTGCGACGAATTT